TCTACCTATTTGCCAACTCTCCCCGCTCCATTTAGATGACTTCGCCCTTACGCGACTTCATGAAATGAAAAGAATGCTTTCATTTAGTAGAAAAACGACCCACTGAGGTAATGTTTGGGGATGGTAGTATAAAGGCAGAAATATAGATGTCCTTTTGGTCAATGATGCAGGGGGTTTGGGAAACGACCTTAGTAGCATTCAATTACACTTCTTTAAGGTATTATGGTATTTTGTCGACATCTAGAAAGGATCAGATTGTTTGCACCAAACAGGACCTCTATGATTGTGCTGAATCCCTGTTTCATCTTGCAATTCTCGATAGTTATTCTACTCTTCGGAGGCAAGTAGGTATTTTGCTTGGGGTTAATCGCACTTTTTGTCAAAGCTATGATCCAAACTACCATTACGTTGTCTTAGATGATGGCGTGGAATTCTTTATGCACATGGACGTTGAATATATCTCTTAGCAAAGGTGGATTTATCACATGGCGGCCTTTAGCCGTGGGCTCTTAAGTTACAGAACGCAGTGATCCCCTACCGTACTCAACTGCAAGGAATCACAGCTTCCGTTTGCGTGCTTTATTTGAGCATTGTCCCAGTAAGATGCCACTAGTAATTTGTTTAAAACAATTCTTTGAAGGAGCGAACCCTTTGTAGTCTTCCATAAATTTACATTTGGTAATTGAAGGCATAAGGCTTGACATAATTTTACGGAGATATAAATAGAGGACGTGGTCCAATGGTCAGTCCTCCTCGCGTAAGCAAGAGTGGCATCAAAGTAGCCATCTCTGAAGTTGACAGTTGAGAAAAACAAAGCATTAAATCACTCCCTTAATGGTAGAAAACCGGAAATTAATTTGCCACAACTGAGTGGTCTACAACAATGGCATGCCTCAACCTTGATAAGTAGCGGTGCTCAATTTTGTTGGATGTCTTCCTCACAATCCCTTATTTTACCACGGTCATGCGCTTCTTGCTGATGTTCAGCTACTTATAATTCCAGGTCGGTTAGACCCTCGATTGATACTAAGACTTTGAGTTATTTTGTAGTCCTTTGTCAGATCATTTATTACCTATTAGTGCATTGTACCTTTCTGTTTTGCCTCAAATTGTTGGCTGATAAAACAGAAGAGTACCCCATCGACAACCACTTAAGGCATTCAAGAACTAGCAAGCATATTTCGCAACCAGTCTGCGTATAGCATGGACTGCTGAAATTTTTC